AGCACTCTGATCTGTTCTGGGTTCAGTTCTTTGGAGGACAGATTATGGACCAACTATGTACCTTTGTCACTCAATTATCTTTTCTCACATTTTAGATAACTGAACGACTTGACAGGTTAGCTCTTCGAGAAGTTCGTCTTAACGAGTCAAGCGCGGTAATGCGGGATACGAAGGCACAGTTAGCGGAAGCAAGGTGCTCAGCTTCTGATCTGGCCGCGCGCTTTGAGGGTATTCTGCAAGAAAAAGATGAATTGAAAAAGGTACCGAGAAGAGAGTACCCTGTTATTCTATGAGTAACTTTCATTTTTGAATTTATATTTAGAAGGTCGCCCCATCCACATGAGCTGAAAACATGCAAACTTGAATTCGACCTAATTATTTCCACATGCTCCCCTCGCCCCGCCTAAATTCAAAGATATCCATCCGGATACTAGCCGAAATATACGAAGCAATACACTCTTCTCAGAACTTTCCTACCCTCGCCAATTCCTGATTTTTTCCCCAGAGAATCGGAAACAAATGTATGGACTAGCATTACGTCTCACATTGTCGTAAATGACATTCAAATTGCCAATAGAAGTGGTTTCACAGGTATTTACGTTCGATTTATGTGCTATTTCTAGCCGCCAGACAAGATATCGGAGGCTGAAGTGACTCACAGTTTACTGCTTTTCAAATACAGTAGGTTGCCTTGATCAAGGAAGGTCAGCCGAAATTATGAACTTATTTTCTTCTCGAAAAAATTAATTCAGTCTTGTTTTAATATGGATTATCATGCAGTCCAATCTCAAGATATTTCAGTCAAGCCAGTGTGCCGGCTTTTCAACACACCGTCTTAAAAACTGCACCCTGTAAAAAAATAGTTACTTAACTGATACATATTTATATCGTTGATTTTCTCTGCTCTTCTAAATTAACGGAAACGATGCAAAAAAATTCATTATGTACTCGTTCTATAGAAAAGTACGTCTGCATCGAATTTTATGCACATAGAACATGTATCTTTTGCTTCTAAAAATAGATTCTACTCATGAGATTTTTCAATATCGTGAAATGTTCGTTCATATCAAACTGTGTCAGTCAATTTATTAATGCGTTCTATAAGATATACAACATGATTCACATGCACTGCATTTTTATGAAAGTTATGTGGAAACATTGTCGTATCTAAGAGCAATGTGAGATTTTTCTCATACAAAATATTACAATATCCTTTAATTAAAATGTAATGACCGGTAGGATTCAAACTTATTTGAAAATTTACAAGGTTTTAAAAACCGAAAGATACACTCTTTTATAGTATATAATTTGAAGAAGACGTAAATTTATGTCAAACGAGTACAAAAAATGTATCCTTAGGCATACTCTCGAACAAAGATATGAATATACAAGGAAATTAAAAATCAATGAAAAAGTGCCCTCTAGTTAAGTAGCTACTTTTTGCAGAGTATGCATTTTGTAGGCGGTTAGGAAGTAGGTCCTTCAAAATTCTGCACCCCGAAGGGACTGCAGTACCTTGCAATTAGCCTGCACGATAATCAGTATAACAAGCCGAATTAAGTAACTTGTTGAAACCGAAATGACATTTTCCCGATTTCGCCGCTTTTTTCAACCATATAGTGCGAGAACCAGAGCGTCAATGTCCAGATCCATACATCATTGTCCTTTGTGCGTGTGTGCATGTGTCCCCTTAAACGGGCCCCTTGGAAGGTGCGCTGGGCCACCATGGGGGCCCAATCAGGGTACGGCAGGCGTTATTCTAGGTGTGCTCCCATAACAAATGTCGAAAACGGGGGAGGGGGCGTAGTGGCAGGCATAAGGCCGACTTCGACCACGTCAGCCACCTGCGTGCGACCCCGGCTCTGGTCTCCATGACCCTGTCTTGACACTGGACACAGGTGGGGGGGAGGGAAGAGAGAGTGTGGTAGATGAAACGCAAATCTATTGTCTTAGTAAACTAGTTCATTCGCAGGTCACTGTCCCTGCGTTCCTGAAGCATATGGTAGACGTAGTCGGAAACGACGGTCTAACTGCTATATGCATGCATGTATGTATTCCAGGAGGTATGCATGTGGCTATGGTAAAACAACTACGTTGGTCACAGGTAACCAAGTAGCTAAGGAAGACTGATACGCGATTTCTGGGTAAAACAGTGTGAGTTCAACTAATATTTCTAATTTTCCCTCCCACCCTCGTCAAGGTCAGACGGAGACCTCCCGCTGATTTAAAGCGCAAATGCACTTCCTCACAGCTAGTGACCCCTTCTCGTTCATAAGTTTAAAGACCGGTCGACTGAACCCTTTTAGGAGACCCACGCATCTCCCATTTCAAATGTATATCTGTTTTTCTCTTCACTTCTCTTTCGTGCTTCGCAAGCGAATTTCCCTTCTGGAGGCCGAGAAGGCTGACCTTGATGCTGCTGGAGGATTGCTAAAGCAACGAGTAGAGGCTCAGGAAAGGCAGATCGATGAGATGCGTCTTCAGTTGGCCGATTCAACCAAGGAGGCCCAGAAGGCGCATTCCGAAAGGGAGGAGAGCGCCTTCGAGCGAAGGAATCAGGCAGTTCAATATACCTCCTTGTTGTAAGTCAGCTCACACAGACAGCGAAGGTTCAGGTTTCAGACGTTTGTATGAGTGAGGAGTTTGAGCACTTAAACGATTTTTTATTGAGTATATATATGATAGCAACGGCATATATGCCCGAAGGACTTCTGTATCAGACTACCCCCAAACGCTGTCATCTCTCTTTGCTATTATAGTAACATGTTTATATATGAATATGTAGGCATGGCCGATCTGGTGATGGAACAGTTAAGTTTCATTTCTGCCCAGGAAATGACATTAGACCCTGTAAAGGCAGCCGCATAGCGACTAGTGGGATGGGATAAAGTGGATCCGAGAACGCAAAGGGAGATCGCAATGGCTCTTTCTGGCCGTCATCAGCCAGTCATACCCAATTTCAAGGGTCGGAACCCCCGAGATTCGATATTTGATCCGGGAATTCCATGATCTCCTAAACTCTGTGTTTCCTGACATCTAGTTCACGATGGAGACCGAGAACGACAACCAAATGCTGTTTCTAGACGTTCTCGTGCATAGAAAACCCAATGAGAACATCAGAACGACGGTAAATAGGAAAGCCACCAATACGCGCCAAATCCTGGGTTACCATAGCAAGCACCCAGCATGGCACAAACGCAATTGTGTACGAACGCTGTACAAACGGACAGAAACACATTGCAGTGAGCCGCATGACCGCAAATTTGAAATGCAATACCTCCAGCACTTCTTCATGCCTAGCGGTTACCCTCGAAACTTTATCGAACGCGGCAGGCAGTCTCGACCGAACTGAACAACCAAAACTATGACATGCGCTTCCTTATATTTATGGCGTTTCCGAGGCAGTCTCCCATCTGCTAAAACCACTGGGGTTGGCACCGCCCACCGACCAGAGTCGACAATACGACATCAAGTCGTGAGACCAAAGGCCCCCCTGCCCCGGGGTGAAATAGCTAACGTCATCTACCGGATCAGATGTAATTCCTGCGCAGTGGACTATGTTGGGGACACTGGGAAACGCTTGCAAACCCGGGTGACGGAACACATGAGGGCAGTAAGGCGAATGGACCCACCATTTTGATGGCTGAGCACTGTGCAGACTCCAGGCACACGTTCGCCTTTCGGAATGCCGAAATTCTGGGTCGAGGAAATGATTGCGTAGCGAGGGAAACTCTTGAGGTCTGGCACACGGGGACAACCTCCATCAACCATTGTGTGGCGCTTCCCACAGCCTAACAAGCTCTACGAACGCAGCTCAATAAAGAAAATAGCGAACGAGCACATAGGCAAAACGTGAATCCGAGTACTTGCGAGCCGATTGTGGACACACACGTAGCTGAACCACAACCGGAAATAGCAAGCATCAGCTCAGCCAGTTCATCCGCTCAGCCTGCAAGTGTGAAACGGAGGGATGTACGAGCGCAAGCAGGATAACCGGCCCGGGACGACAGCTCAGGTCGATGACAGCTGCACAAGCGCGAACACCGGAAGCCGACGGGAGACCCCTTGACTGAAGGTAATGCGGTTCACAGGGCACGATGATTGAGCATCCCTCCTAACCCCTTCCCCCCTTCCTCTGCATTGTTCTAACCCCTTTTGACTATAACTGTCGACACCTATAAATACTGTGAGATGCGGTGCAACTACCACCCCTGATGACGGAAGCCTGTACGCTTTTGAAACGTCAGGACGACAAAACAATGGTTCCCGAGATCACCTTATCATCTCATATATATATTTATATATATGTTAAATTACGGACATCCCTAGAGATTTAATTAGGGATAGAAGAAGTTCTTTGGGAAACTGTGAACGTTAATGGGTAACTTTTGAGGCTAGTTCCCTAGCCCTTCATCAGAATATGGGTAATGTACACAAACAATCAACTTAATTAACCATGTTTACGGTTGGTTACCGTCTACACCAATAGGTGTTAAGTGCAATAGGACACCCCGCTATGGTGGACTGTGTGCCTTTGCTTTTCGTTCTTGAGAAATTTGTATGCAACATCTAATTTGATATGTCGATTGATTCATGCCACACCTGAGTGCATTGCTTCCAGGAATTTATGGGTATTATGATCTGGAAAATGCCTTCGATCCGTGTGTTCTCCCACGCGAATTAATGATCGGTTTCCAGTGTATGCATGTCCCCTGGGATAAATATTCTCATCTTCTGACCGCTAACTGGTGTTAGTGTATGACGGTTGAGACGAATTTCCCAGTTTAGCCACAATAAATTGAATCACAGCCGGCACATGGGATCTTGTAGACAACAGCTTTTCTACTGAGGTAGTCAACCCTGTCCTTATGGTGTACAATCTGTGAGCGTTAGGTGGTTGCGGGTTGGTTTGCTAATTGTAACTGATGTTTCCTTAGTTGTTTTTCGACAAACTCAAACATATTTTTCATGTACGGAAGAGTTCATCAGGTCATTGTTTTTGCTGCCTGGGTGGCATGCAGGCCCCTGACTTGCTGAACTTTCATCACGCGTGATGGAGCTGGACATGATGATTGCTCGGCTACTTGGTTCCCCGGTCTTAGCGTAAGAAGACGCGGTGGTCTGTGCGTTCCCCAAGTAGCGACATGCTGTGGCCAAAT